CTTCACTCCGATAAACGAAAGGATTAGTTTATTACTAGTTAAACCTCGTTGGTTTAATATGACGATAATTAATGTGTATGCACCAACCGAGGATAAAGATAAAGATAAAGAGGTGAAGGATGATTTCTACGATCAGTTGGAAAATATTATGAACCAAGCTCATAGGCATGACATAAAATTAGTCATAGGTGACTTTAATGTTAAGATAGGACGCGAACCCCAATTCAGGTCCAATATCGGAGGCCAAAGCCTTCACGAAAATAGTAATGACAATGGAGTTAGATGTATCAGTCTGGCAGCAGCTAAAGGTCTAGTCGTCAGCAGTGCAATGTTCCTACGCAAGAATATCCACAAGTGCACCTACATAAGCCATAAAGGAGCGAAAAACCAAATTATCTTAAAGATAGGCTGCATGTAGTAATTACAGAGTCATAGCACTCCTTCCGGTTGCTTACACGATAATGATCAATATCCTACTAAACCGGATATGCCCGTATTACTAGAATATAATAGGCGACCACCAGCTGGAAAAAGAAGGAGCATGCTAGACCAGATCTTCATCTTAAAACAAGTCCTCGAAAAACGATGGGAAGTAGCTCATGACGTCCAAGCTGTGTTCGTCGATTTCAAAGCAGCCAATGATTCTGTGGATAGGAGCTGTCTTTCGAAAATCATGACTGAACTGGGAATTCCCAGTAAGTCGGTGAGATTTACAAAGGCGTGTACAAATGAACCCAAATATAGAATCTTAATAATACAAGGAGATGTATCTAAAGCCTTCAAACTTTGAACGGGCTTACGGCAGCGAGAAGGTTACAAGAGCAAGAAAATGGGGAGATCCACGTCGGAATGATATATATGTATATGTATCTGTCCTTGGAAGTAATCAAGAGGACGTTGAGAAATTCACTACAACACTGATAAGAGAGGCAGAGCAGATCGGCCTAAAAGTAAATGAAGACAGAACAAAATATATGATAATAAGCCGAAAATTTCACCCAGTAACAGGATATGCATAGTAGAAAAATTCAAATACCTCGGCACCACAATAACTTCAATGAATTACCAAAAGGCAGAAATAGACCAGCGTATAAGTAGCGCAAACAGATCTTTCTTCTCCCTCATAAGGGTATTGAAATCCCGAAACTAAGGGTGTATAAGGTTATGATAAAGCCAGTTCTAATATATGGCTTAGACCTGGACACTAACCAGCACCGTAGAAAAAAGTGTTGATAGATTTCAGAGGAAAATCTTCGGCACGATAACCATCTGAGATCAGAGTACTGACACATGGAGAAGAAAGATCAATAAAGAACTGCTTACAGAAACTGGGCAATCAATATTCTATTATATGAAGGCACGGAGGTAAAGATGGGCGGGGCATGTAGCTCGTAGGAATCCATCTGGAAGCCTCTACGTAACAATGAATGCGTCAATAGACGGCAAAATACCATGTGAAAGCAGAAAAAGTAGCTGGATAGATAGAATCAACAAAGATGCAACAGAGCTAAGTGCAGATAAATAGAAAGAAATGGCCCAAGACTGAAGAGATGGAGCAGGCTTGTTGAGGTGACAAAAGATCTACATGGTCTGTATGCCAAAAGAAAAAAGATGAAAAAAGTGAAAGGAATATTTTCCAGATATAGTGTTTAAAAATATTTTGATTTTTACGTGATAACTTATGAAGTGACTTTTCTGCTAGACAATTTTTTTTCTTTGTTTATCAATATTTTTTGAGAAAAAATATGGATTTTTAATAGCCAATTTTTAATATCGTTATAAAAAGTATTGATCAAAAACATCGATATTTTATGTATATATATATATATATATATATATATATATATATATATATATATATATATATATATATATATATATATATATATATATATATACATAAAATATCGATATTTCCCAAATTTTCGTAATCCGTAATATTGGGGCTTGCCAACAAAAGAAACAAAATATACACATTCAGTAGATCTATATACAATACTACTCGATATTTCTTTCCAACCTTCTCTGTCGCAACATTGTCCCGTCAGATTTTACATGATCTAATTAAACGCAAAAAAAAAAGCAACATATTTTGCATCAATACTATTCATAAATTATATTGAATGAAAATAATTATGAAAAGAAACTATGACAATGATTGAGGAAGAGCAAGTCGCCTATTTTCAAGATTAGCATCTCAAACAAGCTACTTGTTATTCATGTATTTACACCCTTTAAACGGATACATTTTCTCTAAACGTGATTCCTGCAAGATCTGATGGCTAAAAAAAACAAAAACAAAAACATTTTTTTAAATTTTATTATTATCAATAATTGACGTCATACAGTTTTGAATGCACTGGATAAACGTACTCCATGGAAGTGTTCCAGAAACTTACGAAATCACATATTTTTGTGATGATTGTCAGTTCTTTTTGACCTCCTACGGCGCCGGTGATTCATTGATTAAATAAGAGATAAGTATAAATAAGGTTTCCTTATCAATAATTGATTTTAGTAAATTCTGATCAGTGTGAGTTGAAGTGTTCCAGAGCTGGAGAGCTCAGTAACAGTGTTTTAATTCCAAGTAGGTCTCATTGTTTCTTATGTCTCTTTTCTATATATATTTTTTTTCATTTATTTTTAATTTAAATTACAATAACTATCGATATATCCGATTGATTTTCATCACTAGGGGATCCAGGATTTTTTTTTTTTTTTTTTTTTTTGGTGGGGGGGAGGAGAGCTCCTGCCAGAAATTTTTTTTTTTGTATATATAACAATAGTTATTTTGGAAAAAAATAGAAAGATACTACCTCTATGAAATAGTGATTCTTGAAGTCCTATTAAATATAATTACACGGACAATAATACTTTAAGAGATAATTTTTAAAATAAAGCATGGTTACATTTTGCAATTTTGGGGGCGAGCGGCCTTAAGCCCAAAATCTTCCCCCATAGATCCACCTTTGAGTTTGATAATTACTTCCTATAAAAAAGTTTCCTATGAAGTTGGAGAACGTGTTTTTGTGAGATTATAGCTTTTCCACCTACTAATGTTTTTCTTTAATTAAGAAATAGTAATTTGATCTATACATGGCCTCCTCATTACTTTAATGTGTGAAGTAGTTGCTTACAAAGCTTTGTGCAAAGCATTCAAATTCTAAACATCTCTAAAAGGATTTAAAGATAAATAAATTTAAGATTTGGATCAGATTTCACTTTGCATTTAGATGATAAATAGATCTTGCATAAATGTTTGTTAAACAAATTATTTTTTAATGCCTTAAGCATTGTGGGCTAGTGATAATCTATTTGTCAACAATCGAATGCGCATGAACGTAAAGTATTCAGATGTGATATTTCAGTCAATATTTTTACATCTTTTGAATTAAATATCTTTTTCTCTCCTCTCTGGAAGAATCCTTTTTATTTTCACCCAGCTATATAGGGAGTATATTATAAACAACATTTCAATAGATATATACGTTTTAAGATCCCTTGAATCCAAACAACTAAGTCACTCTTGTATGTATATATGTGAACAACTTATCTAAAAGTTTGCAAGTAACTAAAATCACGTATTTAAGATAGTTTTTGTCAGAGGTATGCAGCACAATTTTCGTTAAAATCGACTTACATGAAATTCCACTACACAACATTATTTTACAATTTATTGTAACAAATTTGCATTTAACTCTATGTCGATACTCTTTACATCAATACACATAGGTCTTTAATATCACATAGTTAATGACCTAATTGAAATAGTGTGACCAGACTTATGCCGAATTTTAACAATGGCTTCCATTATTATTTCTCTTTATTTGAAATAAAGAATAAAATACAACATTTATCAATCTTCTTGACGAGCAATCATTCCCAAAACAGAAATAGCATAAACAAATAATGGGGGTGGCTAGTGGGGAGGAGGTAAACCTTCCAGACCTTTGTTATCTAAAATTAGTTGTTTTATCTTATTTGTCTTAACAGTTGTATCCATAGAAGCTCGAACTCTAGTATAGTATGACCCATAGTTGTTAGGGACTCAACTAAACATTTGAAAAAATAAATAAATAAATATGGATTGTATAAGATAATTAAATTTGTTGGGTTGGATATAATGTACCTTGAAATGCTTTTATCTATCGAGATAAAAACTTTACCGCTTCCTTTAAAACTAGACACAAAAACTAAACACTAGATTGAAAATAATCTAGGATATTTTTGTTTTATTATACTATTTATAATTTATATAAATAAATCAGGAGAAAATCATGTATTACACAGTTTAAAATTAAGAATAAATTTATATAATAAAACACAATCACAAGAAAAACAAAGACAAGAAAATAAGTAATAAAAATTCAGTTTAAAATATATAAAATAGGCATTATAAAAATATATGTACATTTAAAATTAACATTAGTAATGAATTGAATCATGAATCCTGTATGATATTTTGCAACTTAGGAAATGTTACTATAATTGACTGTCTCATCTCACATTGCTGAAAATGAAACAACACAACTTGAATAAAAAAAATAATAAATTTTTAGATAACATTGATTATCAGTTATTCTTGAAAATATAGCATTAAAAAAATTAATAGGGCTTGCTTAATAATAAGCTCACTATTAATAAATTTTTATAATTGAAAACTATGAAATGGCAATTTAATTATTGTTTCACCAAAATAGCATAGATCGTTTTTCATTTTTATTTTACCTCATAGCACCTTGTAACATTGATTTTCATTTACTCCTATTCAAGTCTTAAAAAGATGAATGAAACAAACTGAAAAAAATAGTTGTATTTTTTTTGGAATTTTTTTTTTTTTTATGATACATTAAAATATATAATGTAAAAAAAAGGATTAAATTTTGTCTGTAAATGATTTTAGAAAATTACAATTAAATATAATAGCATATTTCTATATTACTATTATTTGTTAAACACAACCGAACCAAATTAATTAAACAAAAATTATAAATTTACAGACTGTTCGATTCAGAAGCAGGCAGCGATGTCATCTTCTTGGTTGGACCTGAACCTGAAACGTGGAGATTCCCGTGTCACAAACGTGTTTTGTGTGAAGCCAACCCAGTATTCAAAGCAATGCTGGAGAACTTCCATGAAAATGGAAATGCTGAACAAACAATTTCCATACAAGACATAGATGGACGGGCATTTGATCTACTTCTAAGGTGAGAACTATACCCTTTTTTTCTACTTCAAGGTGAAAATTTCATCCTTTATGTAACTTGATTATTTTAAAGTTTCTAAAAATGGATATTAATCACTGAGTATTAGTTATGAACAACGGGTGATTTGGTCATGTTCAAATTAGTTGTTTGATTATTAATTAATAATTAATAATTTGTTTTTACTAGTTTAATAAATTATTTTGTTTTAATTAAATTCACTAATATAAACTTTTATTATATTATTTAATTAAATTAGATTTTGCTGTATTGTTTTATCTTGATTTATATTTAGAAGTTTTTATGTATCCAACCATAGCTTTTTTCTTTTTTTGTTTTTTCTTTCTTTGAATTTTCTTCAACTGCAAACTAATTATACTAACTTGTTTACAATTTTTGTTATTTAGGTTCCTGTACAAAGAAGATGTCATCATTCAGACAGTGGCAACTGCATTATCTACTCTGTATGCAGCTCAAAAGTACCTATGCATAGAATTAATGCGAGAATGTATCTTATTCCTTGATGATGCGCTGACAACTGGAAATGCACTTCAGATATATGAACATCTACGAGTTCATTCTGGACAGCGAGTGAAAGGGCCTTCAGCCCCAAGATATGAGATCGTTCATGCTGAAACTAAGCCAGGAGAAGATTTTAGTTTCATCTTGCGATTGCTTGATTCCTTACTGTTCAACACTCTTCTTTTCATTGGTAAATACATTAGTAAATTTTAAAAGAATTATTTGAGTTGAAATAATGTACATAAAAAAAAAAGAATAATGTAAATAACAAAAATAGGATTTATAATTAAAAAACTAATTACATCATTAGATATCCTTATTAATATTATGAATATTAATATAGTCTTTAATAGTAATAAAATAGTAAATTTTTGGACAAGAAAAGAAAACATATAATTAAGAATTATCATTCAAAATACCAAATTTTAACTACTACAAAGAATTTTCTTTATAAACAAAATCAATAGCATTCACTGAATAGCAGTTTTTAAAAATATGATTAATAAATAAAATAAAATAAAATGAACAAAGGAATAAAATATTGATTAATAACATATATCCAAACTCAATAATAAATAATTTATGGTATAAACGATATAAAAGGATCTGAAAATAAAATTAATATAAAAAAAATATTTAGAACAGAATTGTTGTGGGAATACTAAAATAAACAGAAGCAAATGGAAAAGTTTGATAACTAATTATTTTTAAATTATTGAGATGAAAATATTGCTTAAATAAAGCAGAGATGGGTAAATACTACGCTGAGTACTGAGTACAATGTATTTTACTCAAATACTGACCGTTTTTGAGTACCAAATAATTTAATTACTACTTCAGTTGATGTCAAACTATGAATTGAAGTAGTGATTGAATGCCCAATAGAGGTTCAATTTGAGTAGAATACTTGGTACTCGGTACTCAGAGTAGCATTTGGCCATCTCTGAAATAAGGAAGATATAAAAATGGAGATAAGATGTTTAATATGTATGATAATTTTTTCCAAGGATTACTGATAACATAAAAAGAGCTTATAATAATTATGATAATCATAAAAACATCAAATTTGGTGGGTATAGTAATAATAAACACAGTAATTACTTAATTAATAAAATAATAAAATAAATAATAATAAAGGTATTAATAAAAATATTTAAACCATAATAAATTTGACACCAGATAACCGAAATATAGGTAACCATTGAGCTGACAGTATTTAAAAAAATAATATTTAATAACTATATAATTGTGACTGTACTAAAAAATGATAATAAGATATAAATTCTTGAAGTTTCTTGGATATAAAATTAATGTTGGATATAAAATTGGATTTAAAATTAATTTTAAAATCTTTAATTTTGCTTATTTGAGATGTTAAAATTGTTCAAAATTAAAATAATGGTCCAAGACTTCTAAACATAATTTTTTGTTTTCAGACTTACATGCAGAAGAAATTCTGTGTCAAGAAAATATAGAAGATTTGACGCTTGATTCATTAAAAGAAATTCTTGAAAGAGACACTCTCAATGTGAGGGAAGCACTTGTCTACAACACAATAGAACGCTGGTGCAACAGGGAATGTAAGAGGGGACATTTTGAGTTATCACAGGAAAACCGTAGAACAGTTCTTGGTAAGAAATGTATTTTATTGTATACTTGTAAATATTTTATAATATTGATAAAATATGTGTATTATATGGGGAAGATGGTTCTGATTTCCTTCAACATTAACTTCCAAAACATAGGCAAAAATTTTGACAATTTTTTTGGTCAAAGTCTGGAATGTTAGTTTGATTAATAAATAATAATTCTTCAAATTACTTTCTTTTTTTAACCATTTTGTAAACATTTTTAAAATTGGAATTAAATTCATCTTTATCGACAAAATCTTTTTGAACCTTCTTTCTCACATATAAAGTTATTTTTTTAAACCCTAGAAAAGAGTAGACTGAATAGAAATAAAAAAAGTATTGTATTGTGTTATACAGATTACAACACTTTTAATGACTCGGATTTTATTTATTATTATATTTTTAAAGAATCTTAGATTGTTGAAAATTAACTATATCTTTTCAGTAATTAATAAATTATAAATTACTCCATCACCATCGACCAATTATCAATTGTATATAATTGTTCTCAAAATTATCTGTTATTGCAATTGTAAATTGAAAATATTTCACTATAAATAAATTAATTCGCAGGTTAATTCCATAAACATTATTATTTCAATTTTATTTATTTATTTCAATGAACTGTACTAAAACACCGTATTAGAATTAGCATTATTAAATAAATAACTCCTGGGTAATATTGAATGTTTCATCTAATATTATTTGTGTGTTTAGAATGAAAAATAACTCATAATTAATTTTTTTTTTTTTTTTTTTTTTTAGGTGAAGATATATTGTTCTCTGTCCGGTATCTTTTAATGTCTCCAGATGAATTTATTTCAGGACCAATGTCTGGTAACCTCCTTTCTAAATCAGAAACAATGACTTTATTTGCTTACCTACAAAACGTCCCAGTCACCAATACTTGTTCCACATTGACTGATGAAGTTATTCATAAAATGAAGATTAAAAGACGCCCACCAAAAGATTTACGAATACAGTTAGGTAAGAAACACAGAACTGGTTGTAAGAAAGGAGACAAAAAGACTAAGAAGAAGAAAGAAAAAAACAGTTCTTCTCCATCATGTACCGGTTCTTGTGTCGCAGATTATGTACTTCGTGCTCTTTCTTGCCTTTTTGATTAGTATAGGCTGAGAAATTTCCACATTAAATTAAATCGAATATTGCTGGTCAACGATATTATGGAGTATAATTGTATTGCAGATGATTCCTGCTTTACAAGTTATATCTGCTTAGGATTCCATCGTAGATTTAAGCTGAAGAAAGCTGACTGAAACTAACTTAAAATTAAGATTCTTTTTTAAATTTATAGATTCCTATGTTGATACCTATTAGTATAAATATTACCAAGTGTTCATAAAAAAATAAATATATATATAGCCTAAATGAAAATTACTTGTAGAATAAAATAACGTGGTTCTACATTTCCTTTTTACTCGTATCAGACGGTACTGAAATTTAAAATTTCAGAATAATTATTACTAAATAGATTATAAATTAAAATATCAAATAGTTTGATATATAGTAGTCTAATTTAATTAGATCATGATGACTATCATTTATTATATATTCATCTTGTTTATAAGATAGCTACACCAAATAAGTCAAAGTTGAGGAACAACGCTTTAACAGGCTGTGTATGTTTAGGATGAAATGATTCAAAAATATGTTTCCTTACCAAAGAAAATTATAAAATTTAAATAAAATTGAATTATGAAAAGGGCATATTAAAAAAAAAAAATCATATATATTTCGATGTTACCTTGCAATTTCTATATAAAATTTTAGTGTGACAAATAAATTTTGTCACTTTGTATGTAGAAACATTAGGAACATACATTTTTGTGTGAAACGTTTAAATTAATTCCTCACACATTTTAAAAAATATTATCTTTAAAAATAAAAATTACATTTTCACATATAATTAATTTATTCCCTCCTAAAAATAATGATTTAAGTGCTTGAAATTCATTAGTGTTGTCTTGTCTATATTTAATTTATAAAGTTTAGTAATCAATTAAGTACAAAAACAAATTTTTTTTTTCATTTTACCTTAAATTATTTTTTAAAATTATTATTATTTATTAGAGGCTAGTTACTTAAAGGGATCATTGTGAAAATCCAAAATAAATATGAAATTCAATTTGTAAACACTAAGGGAACTAAATAGAACACCAGTTAGGTTTAACTATGCATAAAAATATAGAATAATGAAAAGAGCTTTATTATGTGACTAAAGTTTCTGACAATAAAGCAATTGAATAGCTAATTATCAAAATGGACAAATCTGTTTTATTCATATTGCTATATTTATTGATCAAAAACTTTATATTAGTTGATAGATATAAATATGTAATGTTGTAATTTGTTTTTGTTGACATTATACCTTTTGACTGGATTTCTCCTGTCATACACGCTAACAATTTTAATTACCATTAATGTCTTAATGTTGTTGTTAATTTTAAATGTTTTACAAATTATGGAATCGTTAAAACTTTGTTGTTGTGAATAACTTTTTGAATATACTTTATTCTAATGTTAAGCAGGTGCAGGCACCGGATGTAGTTTCGTTTATTAAAATTGTATTATATGTTTAAAATAAATAATAAAAATGGTTTATAATGAAAAACTTCAAATTTTGATTTCATAATTTGTTTTAATTGTTAGGCCAAAGCCATTTTTCTATTGTAAATATATACATACATACTTGCTATTAAAATCCTATTGCCTCAGGAGATTGCAGCTTCTTATGATAGAAATATACAAACAGAAAAACACGACAATCTTTATATTTATCAAGATTTGTTTTTTTAATTATCTTCTGTTATTTTTGGACAGAATTTAGAAGAAAACTAGAATAATTAAATTTTTCAGAATTTGAAATTGTACCATAAACAGCTATATCCTGAGAAACATTAGTTACCTTATATGCTGTATATATTTTATTTTATTTATGTATGTATATATGCAAAGTTTGAAGCACAGCTTTAATAATTTTTCCTTCCATCTCAATTAGGTATATTCGCTGGTCGTGTTGATTTTTAAAATTGTGATCTAGTCATTTATAATTAATTATGTTTTAACTGCCTTGAACATTGTATTATTTTTTATAACCAACATTTCTATGCTTATTTATAAATATATTTTTTATGTTTGTGATTTGTTTCTATTTTCCTTCTAATTATTATGGTTTACACAAAATCAGTATTTTAATTTCAATTCCCTTCTTTTTTCAATACTGTACTACAAAAAATCACCATATTCACTCTTTATATTAATTTTATTATTGATTCAATTATTCCAGAATTTTAATTTTGTGAAACAGATTAAGAGTGGTTATTGTCTAACTAAAGATGTGACTCACCTACTGAAAGACAGTTAATCAAAAACAATTCTGATATTTGGATTAGTTACATCATTAGGAAGAAAAATCCCAGAGTAAGAAAAGTTAAAGATTTGATCACTGACAGTATTATTATTCATTTAAACAGAGTTCATCAAGTTTAAGGTATAGAAGGAAGAATAGCTGTACAAACAGGGCAGAACTAGAACTTTTTTCTAGGACGAGCAAACTTAATTTTTCTGCTCCTTCTTATTAATCCTTCCAAATTAAAGTCAATCGTTTTTTAGCTAATATATCTCATAATAAATATCAACACATCGTAACATTAACTCAGTTTATTGGCTGAACCAAGGTCAAAAAAATAAAAAGCAAACAAAAATATCTTTTATGCAATTTAAATATAAAATTTTGTTCGAAATTTGCCGGACTCTAAATTCTGCTGCCTGAAACAAATGCTCCCTCTGCCTCTCCTTAGTTCCGGTGCCTTCATGTACATGAACGTGTGCTGGTATCCAATATTGTTTTTAGAAATACAAAAAGTAAAAAACTGAACGATATCTGAGATAATAAAAAAGGAGAACAAAATATAGCCAGGAAATACTCAATGATATATTTACCATATTTAACATAGCTTATGTTAATTTGAAATATAAACTTCAGATAATAATAACACGCGAATAAATACTGATGATGTTTGTATTGTTGACTGCTGATAAGAGAGGATAAAAAATGATGGATATTGATTTTTTTCAATAACATTGTAGCTTACCTTACTTAAATTTTCAGATTTATTTAAGGCTCATTATTGGTGGCTTGGAAAGGAATATTACTAATGCTAATGCAACAAAGGATACAATTAAGAAAATTAAATTAATCAGCATATCTCAGTTGTTAAAAACAGTATTGAAATAATAAGATGCTTATTTTTATAAAAGTATAAATATGTCACTCACTTAGTCAATATAAACAATCCTATCATTACAATTAAAATTCTTTATTGAAAACCTATATTAATAAATAAGAATGTTATTCTTGATTACCATCAAGTTATCAATTTTTGAAAAATATGTATTTTCACTATTTTCATTCTAATTTAATCTTGTTTTTATTTAGCTAAATAATAAAGATTACTTAGGTTTTCATTAACTTTAACCGATTTTAAATGTTTAAATTGTTCAATCTCAATGTTTCAGAAATGTTAACATCTGTTCTTTTCTATATAATATCTGAGTTTTTCTTTCCTTTCTGACAAACTTTTTTTTTTAAATTAAAAAATAAATAAATAAAGGAAGAATTTTAGCACCATTAAAAATATCTTAAAACAAACTTTTTGAATTATCATAAAATTATGCAGATTAAAAAAAAAAAAATAAACTTTTTATATTGAAGCAATTCATTTTGTATATCCTTCAAATACCTGTTATTATTGATATTAATTTTAACAACAAAATCACAAATAAAAATTGATGAATATCTTTAAAAGTCTTTATTATCAATAGAGAAACATAAATATTTTGTAATTATCATGTAGACAGACTTTTAAATTAAAAAGAACATATAGTTCAATAGATTTGTAAATTTAATAAAACAGAATTTTAAACAGACAAGTACACAACATTTGGTTGTAAAAAGTTTATAAACTGAATATTAAAGTAATTTATCCGATAAACATTGCTCATTATATTAATTAGAGCTGTTAGGTTCCAGCCTCTGTCCACATAAAATCAGTGTTCCCAAATATAATTAATTAAAAAAATTAAATATATATGTTTTGATAAAACTAATTTTTTAATTTAGCAATGATAACAACATGAAACATACATGCAAAGAAAAAAGCAACACAAAAAGCATAAGATGGTTAAGTTGAAATTTTTATTTCATCATTTACATGTAGGAGTAGTACAAAATATACTTTGTTTATAAGTAAACCTTATAAATTAATGCCTGAAAGTTCTACATATTTTTATACACATTAATTTTTTATCTCTTCATGAATTTCAAATATTTGTAAGTTTTAAAGAGGCTGATTTCTGAAGTTATTTTCCTTTAACATAACATCCACCAGTACCAAATCTGCCAAAAGAACGGCAAATTGTCAATACTGTTTTTTTTGTTTTCTAAGAGATACTGAATAATAATAATTGTTTAAGTGTTTTAATTTCTAACATTCTAAAATTTTAATTTATCACATTCTTATTTTTTTATCGACTTTTTCAAATAAGATAAATATAATTCAATTTACTGTTTGTTTAATTTTAACATCAATTTAAAACTAAGAAAACAAAAATGACTTTACTTTCAAATTGAAAAGATAAAATCATGGTTGGAAAAATTTCCAAAAATATTAATGAAATGCTTAGAATGAGAGAGATATTGAAAAAACAAAAACAATAATAAGGTAATTGAAATTAAATATTTATTAATTAAGGTTGAATGTTTATGTAATGTACAAATACAAACAAGACATCCCATAAGTAATAAAAAATGACATTTCAAAATTATAAAAATATATTTAAAATTAAAAACTAAATGAATGTTGAAATGTAATAAATTTCTTACTTATTAAAATTATTACTAGAAAATCCCCCATGTTGGTAAATTTTTGAAATGTGCTCATCTCAGCAAATGGTGAGTTAATTTAATCAAATATTTACTTATTCATTTCTATTATTAGCTGAATTCTTCTTAAATATGTCTCTTCGCTACATTCAAAAATTTTACTTCATAACTCAATGGTTTTTTAATCTTTTATGGAATGTTTTAATAAGAATTATGTAAGGTATTATGTAATGCTCCATGTTTGTGAGCTAGGCACTAATTCCTTTATATGCAAACATTTTATTTTTCTTCACTTATCCTTGGATGTTTTAGGAAGCTATTTCCTTCACATTCATAGTAGGCTTTACATATTTTCAAAAATGCATCTTAACTATTTTCAAAGATGAGCTCCTTTCAGGTTCATTCCAAGAACTCAATGCAAGAATTAGTTTACAGACTTCATCCTTGGCTATAAGAGTTTTTTTACAGTCACCACAAAATGTCATAAAATTTAAAATCAAAAAGTATAATTTTGAACTTAAAAAAGTAAGGATTTTTGTTTACTTTAAACAGATGCCTTCAAGACAAATATAGATGTTCTATTTTTAAAGAAAAAAATATAGGGCACCAGTAAATATACGGCACCGGAGACGTAAAAAATTCAACTAAAGACAGGAAAACGAAAAAAAAATTTAACCTTATTTTTCAGGATTTCATATATAATCAAATATAATTCACCTATTATATTTGATTCCACTCATATGTGTTTAAATAAATATAGATGGAGACCTTCAAAATAATAAAAAAATATGTTTCCACAATTGCGCCTTATTCGGTACCAGATATACTCTTAGGGAGAGCTCACACGCCCTTTAAAAATTAAAGAGATTTTCAGATTACGTTTAAAAAATCTAACAAACCGTAATAAAAATATACTGCTATCCACAGGTTACAAAATAAAGTACGTATTTTAGTCTATTATCATGCTTAAAACATGATAGAATGCTATCTAACCGCAGCATCACAACAGAAACATTTCATCCTTGTTCCTCCTAAGATAATTTCATCACACGAACTTTTTTTTATGCAAATCTTCATAGCTCTTATGCAATTTGCGCAACAGTAGACTTCTTACACCTAGTTCATACGAGTTATCTTGGAAACATGCCAGATTATTTTATACTAAAAGATGGCAAAATGCCATTGCGAAATGCTAAATTGGATATGAGGCTTTTAAGGCTATTGTGTTAGAAAAAAATGTAGAGGTGAGGAAAAGTAATGGGGAAATATTCTATGGAATGACGTGCCCGCGGCCAAATCAAAGATTTTTTCCTCAGGAGGGACATTCTTCTTTCTCTCTCTCTCTCCTCTCTCCATCCTCCCACCCAAATAGTTAACAGTTTTATAGCAACATTATAATTAATATATAGCATTACATCATTTTATGGACCGAACTAAGATTAAAACATTTAAAAAACTGAACTATTGCTAGTAAAGTTGTCTACCAAGGAAGGTCAGTATAGCTTCCTCGCCGTTTTCATTTACTAAAAGATTTCGATATTAAAAGATATAAAAATTTTCTTATGAGAATAAAATCTCTGGAAGAAGGCGTTTCCGGAAATCCAGTAATCCCTCAACATATACGAGCTTGATATCCACGAGTTTTGTTTATCGGCAAATACTAAAATGCGAAAAAGTTCCGCATTTGCAGATTGCATATTTGATAATTCGTAGTTTAAAAAAAAAATCCAGTGCATAATGAATATGCATCTCGCTACTGTTTGCATTGACGTATGTAAAATGTATGTATGTATGCATTGAGTGTTTTACAGGAGAGTATAAAAACTAATTATTTCTTCATGTTTTAATAGTATAATTTTATATTTTATTGCCTTCTGCTATTTTTCATAGTAGTAGACTACTTATAGTAAGTACAGACTCCATAATGTCAAAAATAGAATAAAAATTGAAAACTTTAACATACGATCTTTGCACTAACAGTAGTGATATATACTTAATAGGCATGTTTTCACCCGTAAAATGGATAATACAAAAAAATCATAGAAAATATTCAACTTTTTATTTGTTTTGGAGTTAACGAGACCAACACTTTTCTTCAGTCAGAACAAATATAATAAAGCTGGAATATAAAAATATGAGTGAAGTTGACACAATTTTGGTATTTAAGGAGAAAATCGAAACCACGACGAGCTGGTTGAACTTCAGTGGAGATAAACACAATCACAAATAAGGCGTTTTTTTTTTTTTTTTTACAAATTCAGAGTA